TTGAATTAAGAGAAAACTAAAAAAGAAAAAATCATTTTGAAAATTTTTTTGAAACTTTCTTGATAATTTTTTTCACTTTATTTAAAAACCCAAAGAGGTTGACTGAAGATTTTCCACAATTTCAGTTCAGAAACTCAATCAGTCTCATGAGACACCAAAAAATATATACTCGAAAAAATAACATTATGAAAATAAGCCGACGCATTGAAACCGACCAATCTCAAAGCCGAAAATGTACCAAAAAGTTTTGAATCCTACCAGAACTCATCTGCAATTCTTAATTTAACAAATCTAAATGCAGAGCGGTAACTGTATTAGCTGACTGTTGTTTACTTTAATTTACTTTGAAGCAAGACAAATTACGTGTAACATTTTCACGTGCGCGAATAAAGTAATTTACGGAAAAAAGTTTAGTATCCGATTTCACTGCCCTCGCTTCTCGCAAAGACAAAAAGTATCAAGTTCAGAAAAACTCCTTTCTAAGCTAATTTTTTTCAAAATGATCTATGCAATCAAAACTGTGCTATCAAAGCGCTGAACTTTTATGAGTTTAAGCTGACTAGTTGATATTTTTCACATTCATTTGATAAAACTCCTTGATTTTTGTAAGGATGAATTTAAGCTGATATGTTGATAATTTTCACATCAATCAATTCATAAAACTCCCTAATTGTTGTCAAAAGAACTCAATTCGAGACAAAAAAATAATTCGTCTATCGTTTGATTTTGAATTTTTTTTAAAAAAAGCTACTTGGTCGAGCAGTAGCTTGCAAAAATCAACCGTCGCAGCCTGAAAAGCTATATACCAGAGGATCTAAATTTACAGATCAGCTGAAAAACAACAGGATGAAAAATTCAGAAAAGAAACAGAAATTTTACGTCTGATCAACGAAAACGAACTCGACTCAATGTGTTTGCCCGATTGATCAGCAAAACACTACTTGATGTGTCGCCCAGAGTTCTTAAAACTCTCAGCAGACAAAAACAATGAGCAGGTCGAACAACATTTGCTCTGTTTTAACTGTTTGTTTGGTCACAAGTTGAATAATTTTTATTCTAAACAGCGGTGCACAGTAGATAACTGTGGCAGAAAACACCACTCAACTTTGCATCGATTAAAAGCAGTTGCAGATGAAGCGCAAACTCATCAATAATCAAACAACGTCAGTGTTGACACTCATGTTTCAACTCCATTTAGCGATGATACGATGGACCTGGAGGAACTCTGACATGTTAAAAATCAGTCGCCGTTTATGCCTGTAACTCTAATTCGTGAAAACAAACTAATTATGTTTTACGCATTGTTTGACAATTGCAGCATTTGTTCGTACATTCGCAAAGCAACGGTTGAGGAGCTAAGATGCATTCCAAAGTAGACAATTGATTTAAACGTGCAATCCATTTTCTTAGAAGTACAGTAAGAACTTCATTTGATCGTGCTATTTTTACAGTATTAAGTGTTTTCTGGATTGAAAAAGCGTTGTTTGACGGAGTACACGTGAAAGAGCTCAACAAAATATGCACTCAATTCAACCATTTGGGCTAAGTTTACTTTCCTGCTTTCGAAGCCAACTCGGAGTGGATGCCTTTTTTTCATTGCCAAACCTAATATCAAAAAGAAACCTATTGGGAGTATTTACGCAATTCTTAACTTCCTGGGTTGGACTAAAACGAACCCGATGAATCAGACACTTCTTCGTGATAAAATTATCGATCACTCAATTAATTTTTTTGATCCTGAACACTCCAGCCAGTCCAAGTAAAGTGAGTTAGTTGAAACAATCTAGACAATTGATAAATTGGGTATACGCTTAAAACCAACACCACCTCGGCACTCTGCGAAATTGAAAACGCCTTCGTTTCATGCAAAATAGTATCCTTCATGATGGACCAAAGTATCATATCGTACCGACAAGGTCTCTCTACCGAACACCTTTGTAATCTCTAAACAGGAATTGAAAATTTCTCTGCAGCGCCGACTAAAAAAAGAACCCGTCACGCTACATTTTTATAGAAAATCGCTGACCACCGATATTGACAAAGGCTACGTTAAATCGGTATACTTTTTGTTTCCGCAGCCTGCAAAGATTTAGTATCTTTCTTATCATGCGGTTACCAACCCAAATAAACCAGGCAAGGCAAGAAGCGCTGCCAATGCAGCTTTGAAGTTTGAAGGATTATCCTTTAACTCATGCATTGAGTCAAGTCATGCCCTTCTTAAATATATGTTCGGAGTCTTGTTGCATTTTAGAGAAAATCCGATAGCAGTTTCGTCAGACATAAAGGCATGTTCACGCAAATTGGAATAGAAGAAGAAGATCCAAACGCTTTTTTCTGGCCTTTGGAAAAAGGTATAAAACAATATCAATGCTTGAGACTGACATTTGGTGCTAAGTGCTCTCCCTCGATTGCAAATTTCGCCTTGCTGCAGACATGAAAAGATTTCTGCATACATCTACCTAAAATTACGAAATTCATCAACGAAAGCCTTTATATGGATGACTTTGTTCGCTTTTTTCAGTCTCCGAAAGCAGCGGATATCTCAGTTCTGGCTCTCAAATCATGTTCACATAAAGATGGTCTGACCAAATTCGTTTCCAACAGTTCTGAAGCTCTCCAATCGATTGCTGATGCCGAAACCAACGAAGAAAATACTCAAAAAAATTAGGTGTTCATTGGAACTTTGCAGAAGACACACATTTTAGGAAGCTGCAGGTTAAATAAGATTATGACGCTACAAACATGACACTGCGTAAAGTCTTGCAACAGTATTCTACCCACTGGGTATTCTCGAGCCTTTCCTGGTTAGCTTTAAAAAAATTTACAGGAATTTTGGTGTTTAGGAATAGCATGTGATGATAAAAGTCCTGATCAATACACATCAGTCATCAAAACAAGTTCAACTCAATGTCGCGAAAAGTCTTTGGTAAAAATTGGCATTTTAACGCCTTTTTCGTCTCTACAATTACATGTTTTACATGTAGCTCCACTGAAACAAGAGAGTATTCCAAAATTGGAACTACAGGCAGCTCTTTTGGGAGCCCGACTTCATATGTTCGTTTTTGACGAAATTAAGTCCATTTTTCAGAAACTTAGGCCCTGGACAGATAGCACAACCGTCCTGGCGTGGCTGAAATTATGTTCCAAACAGATATCCCTTTTAGTGCCAATCGCATAAAATCCTTTCCTTGTCGAAAGTAGACCAATGGGATCATATTCAAGTAAAATGAACACTGCAGATCATGGAACCTGTGGCATCATCCTTTCAAACGTATACAGCTTTTAAATATTTCCACCAGAGTTTTTTTACAGCCTTTGATGACAACGCATTGCACTTCCTTTAGCCTTGGTTGAAAAGTTATTAAATCATCTTTTTTTTCAAATAAACCAAACCTCTCGTAAAATTGTTAATTCATAATTGACTTATAATGATGACGCAAATGTAAGCCTGGGCATTGAATACTTGATCACTTAACTTTTGACGTACAAAAAGCAATCAACAAACGAACTATGTGAAATTTGAAAAATATTCATGACAAAAGCCTGTGTGTAGAATACATATAGACGCGCATAAATTTAGTCGAGTAAACAAGCGACAAGTTGATTTTGAAGGAAAATATTTAGATTTTTTTGACAGAATAATTTATCGATTTTTCAAATTTATCCGGAGTAAAACTCTTTTTCACTAATCATAAGAAAACGTTTAGTATATTTTCGATTGTGCAATTTACTTCGAGCGAGCTTGTTTGGCTCGAAATTAAACTTAAATACCACACTTTCAAACCAGCTTTCTCTTAGGATCTTCCGATGATTACTTTTGGTACTTGAATTTGCATGGGAAATTTAAAAAAAAACTAAAACGCAATTAGGACTAATTTTGATTAAAGCTTGCCCATTTGAGAAAGATGGATCATTTTTTTTCATCTTGCTGAGAATTTCTGAAACCAGAAGTCATTCACTTTTTGCGCCATTTGTACTTTACTGAAGAGCATAACTTATACACAGAGGCGAAGCAGAGCTTCGCATCACTTGCAATCCAAAAAACAGTGCGTTGCAAAATAGTGAGTGGAAAAAAGAGAGAAGCCAAAATTTCTGAAAATTTTATTTAAAAAATTGCACCTCCAAAAACTTCATGCTTGGATCGGATGATGTTCATGAAGAGCCTTCAAAAGCATTGGGAATCAATTAACGAACGGCAACAAATTTTGGGTCAACTAATGTTTAGCCGAAAAGAAAACTGTTGTCCAAAAAATGTTTATAAAGTTTCAAGTTTCTACGACCCAACCGTAAATATAATCACATAAAGATATATTTCGCCCTCCAAATTACCCAATATAAGTTGACTCCGTCGATATAACATGAAATGAAACTGTTTCTTCGAAAAAAAAATGGTAAATCAGATGGTAAATCAAAACTATTGAACCTATATTATAGTGAAAACTGTCGAAATATGAAACACACGCTTTAGAAAGGAAGCAGATAAAAGGCCGTACCAGATAAGATAAATGGTATTTTAAGAAAAACGGAGAATGAACCGACAGATACTATGACGAAAACCACGAATCCGAAAAAAATCAATATTCGTTCGATAATTTTTTTTTGAAAAAATAATTATTACTTGAAACGAGCTTAACACCTAATTGCGTCTAACCAAAATTTTTTCAAAAAAAAACAAACCAAAATAAGTTTCATTACTTCTTTCATTAACACAAGAACTTGCAGGATGTTAATTACTTCTTCCATGTATGTTACCAGGGGTATATATAATAATTTGAACGGTAGCGTGCGCTGAAATGCACAACATTTTCCAAAAAAAGCCCCAAAACGCCTTATTTGAAATGTTTTTTTTTCCAAAAATTTGCCTGGTTCTTTCTAGTTTTCCACCCATCAGAAAAAATCCTAGATCCGCTTCTGTATGTTACGATATTCTGGGACACCGTCCTTCACTGAATTCCTTAAAACGCTCAGCTAACAAGACGAACTTTTTTTATAATACCAGTATCATAGCGTATTTGAAGATATTAAATTCTAAACTTTATTCTCACGCAAGTGCAATTCGATTTCTTTCAATTTAAAAAGCACTATAATATAGTTCAGTGACATTTCAGTTCAAGACAATCACGAAAGTGGTTGGGTGGCAAATCCTGTGGCAGTTGAGAACAGTGAGAGCACCCTGGCAGCCTGTTTGGCCTCCAGAAACAGACGTGCTTCCCTCACCCAGTCCTGCACCACCTCTGCTGGCTTCCCTGGAACATCACGTTGACTTAATAGATCGATACGATATTTCAAGCGTTGATTGCTCTTTGAACTGAATTAAAAACCCCTAGTCAATTATTTTTTTGAATCAAATTAAATTACTTAGCTGAAACACTATTGAATAGTGTTCCTGTAATACTCTTATAATAATGAAAACTTTTGTTTATTCGTTACTATCCCCTAGCAGAATTACGATGAACTACCATTTTAAACAACAAATTTTCATACCTTTTAAATTATTTAACAGTTTAACACTAAGAGACACGTCGCCTCTATCCAAGGCCACCTTTGCATATCCCAACAATTTGTAGTTGTCGCACGAGTGAACATCCAAATCTGTAGGAACCACCGTTGAACCCACACTGTTGAAGGAAAACATTGATCTCAGCAAGGACAACACATGACTGTAGAGCGAATCTCTTCCTTCACAGCTGTCAACTTTTCCCAGTCTGAATGAGGTTTTGAATACCTTCTGGAATCTACACTTTAGCATATCTTCAGTGTACACTCCTCTCGAGCGAGCGGTTGGGGACAATGAACTCAAAACTGTGGATACAAGAGGTTCATTTTCAGAGTGGTTTATTATTTCGATTCTCCTTAGAAACTGATGCAGAGGCAGCAGCTCAGCATCTAGTTCATTTGCATCTTCAGATGCGACATTGACTTCGCGGTACAGTTGATTTCTGAAACATTCAAATATGAAATCAAATTTATCGTTCACTTCAATTTCAGCTAATCTAAAAAAACTTTAAAAAAAATGAGAAACTAAACAACATAAGGAGGTATAGGAACAGCAGCATTTTTGTCTTACTTGAATGCCTCGGACGCGAGCCACATGTAGTGAGAGTACAATGCCTTCCTCTGTGAGTCAGCCTTGCTTTCTACGGCTGTTTCTATTCCCTGAATCAGATGATAGCAAATTACATCAAATCAAGTGCATAGAACAATTTAATTTAAACACATTGAAAGAAACAATCGTGCTTTAATTTAAAGCTCATCTTACCCGGATCTTGGCGGAGAACAGTGAAAGTGTCTGTGCGTGTTGCTTCCTCAATTCCTCCAGCTCCTCTGCCCTTTTCGCCTCATAATGAGCTCGGATGAGCTCTTTTTCACTGTCCATGGCAGCCTCCACTAACTTCCTCTCCTCAATTACTCTGCGCTCCACTTCGCTATCAAAGTCTTCGTTCTAAGCAAATGAACAAAATATTTAGCGAAAAAAAAACATTGTCATTCAAAGATAGAATTTGTGATACTGACTTTGATCTGCCACAATTACAAGTCTTTATTCGCGCCTGAGATCCCACAAGTTCGCAACTCGTAGGCTAGTTTCGCTCTGATATATTGCTTTTATTATGTCATAAAACATTAGATACTGATGTGTATCACTAACCATGGCCGTTGAACTAGTGACGCCCCCTGACAGTCCAGTTCCAGTTTTATGTTTCTCTTGATTTAAAAATTGACTAATCAGAAGACAGCGCATTGTTTTCAATTTTGTCTGAGCTTCACTGTACGCATTGGACAGCTCTTGAGAGGATATTTCATCTAAGTTTACCTTATCGCTCGCCCACAAGGATTGATCCTGCTGCAAACAATTTAAAACATAGCTAATTGACAGTTGGAAAAGAGTAATGAAGAACAAAATAGATTGCGTTATAGCTCTTTGAATTTATAAAACAGTTTATGATGGACATTTTTTTGTTAAAACTAACCCAATTTGGGAAGAAAACTGGATCAATAGGCGAAACTTTTATTTCGCTGGAAAATCTGAACATTAAAATACACTTTCGAAACTAGAAGTCAATCAAGTTTTCCATGACATTTACACTTTTGCTGTTCGATAGTGGAGTTTGCCTTCCTTTTAACAACGGAAATGCACTGAACTTAAAAAAAAATCACAAGTCAAAACGCGAAAAACCAAAACTGAGCATGAACAAACTTTTCCTGAAAAAAAAAACATTAAGACCTATATAAGAGTACTCACTTCGTTCATTAGTCTTTAAAAATTTACCCAATAAATTAGAGATAATTGGTAGACTGTGAGATTGAAACATCGTTTGAGCAAGAAAAAAAACACTTTTACAACCAATTTCTAAAAAATTGCTTTGTTTTCCATCCGTCTAAGAGAACGTTAAGCGCAACGGAACGACTAGCTCTAAACAAATCCACACACCGATTTATCTACAACTAACATCGAGTCCGAGTGTGAACATAAAGCCAACTGAACTGACCTTCAACTCATGCAGTCGCCCGACAGCATTATTCAACTCTGATTCGGAGAAAGTGATAATAGAACATGTACCAGCCAGAGACTTGCCCCTGTCATCCAATTTCCTCTGGTAATCCAAAACCAAATCTATTTGCCCTACTTCACAATTCCTTTTCAATTTGTTCAGTCTCGATTGACACTTTTCACCAGCCTGTACACACGCTTGCAACTCATTAGATCGCTGAGCAATTTCTTCGGAAAGGTAGACAAATTCCTCGTGTGAGAAATCAGCTGCAGGAGTAATTTTCTGTCTCAGCTCCATTAAAGATTGGGACAACCTTTTCTCGTCTCGAGTAAACTTACTCAACCGCTTTTCTAATTTTTCTAATTTCTTTGAAATATCTGTTTCTACTTTGTTCTTGCTCCTCTTTTCTTCTTTATACTTTTTTCCTTCAAACTTTCTCTCAATTGAGGATTCGTTCTTCAAAACATCAATACCTGTATTTCTCGGCAACTTTTCGCCAACATTCAGCTCTTCGGCACTCTTAAACCGCTTCGCAACTTCATTCAAGGTTCCCGGAAAGAAGTAGTAGGCAGTTGCACCTCCAACAACTACAGCACCGCCTAAGAGTGCGACTGCTTTCAGGGATCTATGAGATGATTCCGGCTCCACTGCGCCTCCGGACCCAACATTTTTTCTGGTACGCGACAAAAACAAAGTGCGCTTTACAACAGAATTCAGCTTACCAACATGCCGTAGAGACGAAATCACCCTCCGCTCATGCATGTTCTGAAAACAGTTCAACCGATTGAGGACGAAATTTAATTATTGTTTCGACCAACAATTAGGAAGCAGTTATGAAATAACCTATGCACACAAAATTAAGTACCCACCGTACCCTAATGCTATATGGTGACGTTGGCGGAGGGGTATTTCATCTCTCCCAAAAAGAACAAGAAAATTACTCTCTACCTGAGCGCGAGCTTAAGGCCGGTGATCTCGTTTGCGTATTGAATCGAACAGCCCACGGAGATACTACACAATCGCTTGCACCGTCTCGCTTTACTTCCGCAAGGATAAAGTCGGCCATCCCCATGTTTCGCGTAAATCCTTAGGAGTACAGGATGTTAGCGTGCAGAATATAATTAGTTTATTTTAAGATGGGACTAATTTCCTACATTTCTAAACCGGTTGGCCAAGCAGTCTACGCTGAAGACTAGAACAAAGTTCTTTGGATTTCAGTTAGCGTCCCCCAAAGGCCAATCCCTACATATTTAGAAATAATGATTTCGTATTTCTGATCGACTGACATGACAGACTGTGATAGACATTAAATAATTAGCAAATGATTCCATGAACCAACTACTTTGATATTGGGTAACCTTTTCACTTCATTTTAAGGTGGGTAGCCTTTTCACTCCTATGTTGGGTAGCCTTTTCTATTAGATTTTAGAGATCTGGTTTATGTTTTTATTGGTGATATCGAAAGACGATGTAATTCTCTGATGAAAGAAAATAAGAAAAGACAATAAAACGCACGTTTTTCAGATCAAACCGAAATCATCCGCCGCACTGCGTAAAAACAAATCTTTTATCTTTTATAATGATGAAAGAAAATAAAACGCAAGTTTTTCAGATCCAAAGTGAAATCATCCGCCGCATTGCGTAAAACAATTCTTTTATCGGAATTGAAAACAGAATTGAATTGAAATGTGTAAATTATCTATATCAAAATCTTACCGGTAAGAGGAACGCTTTTACGAATGCAAGAACATTACCGACAGCCAATTAAAGAATTAACAAGGCTGTTCCTATATCAGGGCAAAGCCCTGAATGTTCCGACTGTCCCTTAATTCATATCGAAGAGTTTTGAAAAAAGAAAATATTGAAAATCTATAAACTTTATAAACGCCTCTGTTGGCAATTGGCGTACCCATTTGTTGAGTTCAAATTTTGTCATTTAGTTTCTTATTTGAAAGTCAAAGCCCTTATTCAATTTTACCCTTAGGCAATTACCCAGCCCAATTGATTAGATTGCGAATGAAATGATATATATCATTTCTAATTTGAATTGCTATTTGAGCAGATATTTTACACATATACGTAGGAGCATATGTTTTGATTGCAAAAGAAACTATCTCTAGGCAGAGCAACATGGAATGTTCTGATTGCAAACCTAACTTTGGGCAACGAAAACTGACAGCGAAACTTTGCGAAATCAACAGACCCGTTAGAGAATACCACCAACAGACAAAACTAAGGAAAGAGAATTTCAAAAAGTATCTGCAGAGAAGTTGCAGAAAACCAGATCAAAAAAAAACAGCAGATTTGAAATGAACATTTGGAAGTTCGCATAATTTTGACATTTCTCATTTGAAGATTCAAATTTTTATAATTACTTTATAATTGTAATATTATATCACGTTTTATTTCAAGTTGGAGTGGTAAGGAAATACAATTATAAGTTGACTCAGGACGCTCCGTTGAATTTTCTGAACCGACAAATTTTTTGAAAACATGATTTTTTTCCTCCGTTTTTATAATATCCTCTGAATTAAAAAATTGACTGTAAAGTCCGTTGACGCTGAGACAACTTTGAGTGACAAGCCGTAAAATTTTCTTGGTAGCAGGAGGTAGTTGATAGAAAAACATAGGGATTATAACAAATTTAATATCTATTAATCAAAGTAATTAGTTAAAAATCACACCAAAATGGTTTTGCTGTTGGCCAAAATGCTAGAGAACTCCCTATTTCACAAAAAATTTCATATTTGGAACCAATCATTCATTCCCTTACTTCATAAATGAAATTCATCTAGCTTCAAATAAAATGTTTGATTTAAAATAGTTTTCATTCTTCTTTCCTTTGTTTAAAAAATTACGTTTTTATATCACTCAAAAAACACGATAAGCGAAAGCGAAGAATTCGAAGCGAACGCCGCGAGTCCTATCGAAGGACAAGTACAACTTCGACTCGAAAGAATGCAAGCGAAAACCCAACGAATGAACGCGGCAAAAGGACGAAAACTGGACAGCTTTCGAAGAGAGCTCGTTAGGACGCAAGATAAATTAAATGAAATGATCGACGATAAACGAAGATCCTGTCGTGTGAAATCAAAATTTGAGAAACTGTTGAACGTCGTTGAAAAGAAGGCACAAGAAATTGACGCCCAGCAGGGCAATGAGGCACGTTCGATAGAGTGTGAACAAAACAAAAACGCAGTGCTCTGAAGATTTCGTCAAAGAAATCAATGAATATTTGGAGAATACTGGCAAGGCCAAAGCGCTTGGCAGTACCTCAGCAGCTCAATCCCTATACAGTTCAAGATTGAGTCACAGACCAGGTTCCATGGAAACTTTGTCACACGCGAGTAACCAGTCAAATGATGAAGAAGTACTCCGCCTCAAAGAGATGGTTGCTCAACTGGAGCTGGAAAAATCAAATAGTAATTGAAAAAATAATCTGAAGAAAAAACGGAATTGAAAATTCAAAATATTGAAGAAACAGCGCGATTGAATTAACAACTTGGCAACATGACTTTGTCGATTGCCGACAAACAATCAGATCACGCAAATAAACGATTTGTGTCCCGGACAGGAGTGGTAGACACATATCTCCATCAAGAAAGTTAGTTTTTTTTGACGAAGAGGATCAAAAAGACTACACCGACGACTGGATAAAATCACTCAGCCAACCTGACGAACCGAAAAAGAATGCTTCGAAGTACCAATTTAAAATCGGATCGATTACGCAACAAGAAGATCGACATCAGGACAGATACTCAGATGATCTAAACAGCGAGTTCAGATATCTGAGTTTAACCAAACCCATCTTACCAAAGTAAAAATGCAACTTTTTGGAGGAGAGCCATTGGAATGGCCGAAGTGGTCAGGATTGTTCACGGCTACAGTGCATAACGCCAACATCACCAAAAATTTACTATCTGAAGAGCCATCTATCTGGAGAAGCAAAGCAGATACTAAAGGGACTCAGCTTCGATGGCAGCCAATACGAACATGCCTGGAAACTGTTGTACAGACATTATGGCCAGCCACACATCATAGTTGACTCTCAAATTAAGTTAGTGCATAACTTTTCAGTGATCAAGATGCACGACTCTTGCCAAATATCGAAGTTCGCTGGAATAGTGATTACATTTGTTAGTATTCTTGCTAACTTTGGATATCACGGGGATTTGAAAGCAACAGCAATTATCAACGTGATACTCGCTAAGGTCCCTCCTGATCTGAAAAAAAGGACTTTTTTGATTTTGAAAGAAGACATTCAGATCCAAGTGCTGAACTAAGTGAATGGTTGATTGATGTGGCCTTAGAGCACGATCAATTAATTGCAAAATGTCGTGAATCCAGATTTGCAACTGGATCCAGGAAACAAAACAATCAAGGTATTTTCCAAGGAAGAGCCAGAACCTATACAATAGAAGACAAGTAACATCTGAATAAAAACGCAGATCAATGTTTGTGCTGTAACAAAGGAATCCACCAATTGTGGAACAGTCCAGACCTCAAAACGATAAATGTGAGACAAAGATACGAAGTTCTGAAGAAAAATAGATTGTGTTTTGGATGCTTGAACAAAACACATAGTATCAAGGATTGTAAAATTAGTCCATGTGGGATCAGTGGTTGCGACAAAAAGCACAGCCGTCTGTTATATGAACAAAAGCGAGATAACAGAACAGATGTGCAACAATAGTCGACCAACTCTTGTAGTATGCCCCTAAGTAGTGGTTTACTTTCGATTGTAAAAGTAACACTAATTAACCCAGAAACAGGCAAGTCAGTGAACACTTGCGCTTTGCAAGATACCGGATCGACGGTGACACTAATTGATAAAAAGTCTCAAATAAATGTTGAATTTTTCAGCAAAGGAATGCAGACGAGAACTTTCTGGAACGAACAGTGCGATCAATATCAATGAAAAGGTCTCAGTGAAAGTGACAACCAGAAATCTAAAACCAGAACACATTATCTGTTTGGTACATCCAGATTTGTCACTTGGATCAACCAGCTATGATCACAAGATTTACAAAAGAAGATTTCCTCACTTGTCGATTTACCAAATTGCAAAATATCACACTCTGAAGTGAAACTGATGATTGTCCAGGAAAATTTCAGTCTGATAAGACCAATTGAGTATAAGCGTCAAAACAAAAGAGACTCATGGGGAGTAAAGACACCACTTGGATGGTCACCAAGTGGTTCATTAAGACAACAAGTTAGGATTTGCGAAGCACAATCTTAGTTCTGTTTTGCAGAGGAACAGCTAGCTCACGAAGCAAACAATGGTGGGCCATAGAAAATTATGGTTCCTGAGAAACTGTTGAGTCGCTATCTGGAGAAGAAAGAAGAGCTCAACAAATTCTCGAATCAACGACAAAATTGGAAGATGGGAAGTTGGACTTCTATGGACAGAAAACAACATCAAGTTACCCAATAACTACGGAAGTGTACTGGGAAGCTGAGATCGTTGCAGCGGAGACTCGGCAAAAACATGGAACCGAAGAAAAAATATACCGAAACAATCAAAGCGGATCTCAAAAAGGGTTTCATCGAGAAAATGTCTCAAAATTATATTCAAGAAAACGATAACAAAAAGAATTGGTATCTACCACATCATCCCGTTTTTCACCCATATAAACCAGGCAAAGTTAGAAGAGCTTGCAATGCAGCATCGAAGTATCAAGGTACCTCTTTGAACGATAACTTGTTATCTGGACCAGATTTGTTGCAGAAACTTGTTGGGACTTTGTTCAAATTTCGGGAAGGAGCAGTT